TTAAGATGATGTGTCCATAGCAGTGAACTTCTCCTTGTCTTTGCCCTGAGCTGCAGCCCGACCAGCAGCTTTGTTTTCCAGTATCCTCTTGCGGGACTTGGTCATCTTCAGCTTGACAATACAGACCTGGCAAAAACAAACAACTGTACAAGCTTCTCCAAAACAAATATAAAGTTAAAGAAGCATCCTCTTCACATTCAATCAAGTCAACAGTAGAAGTAACAAGTATACAAAATTTTAGTTCTATTTCTCTTTTAAAAATCTTTGTCAACCTGGAATAAAACTTATTTCACTAGATGTTTCAGTCTCCTGAAATTCCTTTGACAATTTTAAATTACTAATCAAATTATGGTGACCAACTACAGCAGTTACAATTCCTTAAGGTGCATTAAAGTCTTGAACTAATGACAGTATACTTTCCTAGCCTTAAGAAAATTTTAGAAATACAATCTAAAAAAAAAAAAAAAAAAAAAAAAAAAAAAAAAAAATGGAAATAATTGCCTCAAGTTAGCAATATGAGCATGCAAAAGCCAAATTGATATACCTTTGAAGGGTGGATGCCAACATAGACTGATGCACCATTGGCCTTTTCACGCTGAATTCTCTCGATGTAGATGCAGAGCTTCTTACGATAAACAGTGACTACTTTGCCAACCTGTTGTCCTTTGTAATGTCCACGCACAACCTGGGAAAAATCAACTTTTATAATGCCTGTTTCCCTATTATCATTACTCATGTGATTGTTAAAAGTTCAGTTCTCCTTTATAATCTCAGAGCCAGGCAAAGCCTAGTGTGGTTGCTATTAAAAACCTGTGTGCTAGGTGATGTCTTGTGCAAGAGAACCTTGGACAGACTTCAGGACTGCACACCGAGACGGACAGCTGCCTCAGTCCTTATAGCAACCACGTCTCTCAGTGAATGGATTAAGTGTTTCATCATTAAATCTTTTCAAATAAAAATATTCACTAATGCTACTATCAATAACCTATTATGTGCACCTTGGAAAGATCCACATTCATCTATTACAAGAAAGTGAATTTACCATTCACCCGCCTACTGAAGTCTAAAGTAATGAACAGTTCTGGAGCACCAAAAATGGTTATTAATAATGAGCTTCCATATTTTAAAAAGTGAATTCTTTTTTTAAATGGATTTCTTAAGTACTCACCTGAACTTCGTCATCTTTGCGAATTGGCATGGCACGGACATTGTATTTCTGACGCAGTTCCTTTGATAAGGGGCTAGACATGAATTTTCTCTTGATATGGGAAGGGGCGCTGAAGTAACGTTGCCGGTTTTTACGCCGGACTCCGTTACCATTTTGATCTTCATGATGGATGCTGGAAAAAAAAAAAAATACTTGGATTAGACAAAATCCTATCTTCAAAACTTGTACAGAATCCCTTTAGTCTCAGATTAGATATAAAATCCGTGAGCCAGGCAAAGCCTGGTGTGGTTGCAAGGAAACTTGTATGTTAGTGTGATGCCACATTCAAGAGAACCTTAAATTAGCTCAGTGACTACATACAGAGACGGACAGGTGTCTCAGCACCCGGCAACCACATCTCTCATAAAATGGATTAACTGGTCTCATCATGAAAAACTTTACCACTAGAGTAAAGGCAAATGTTTATTTGGCTCATGTAGAGTATCAACCAAAACTCGTAGAGGTTGAAGACCATGACGCGTGTAGATAGAGGAAAATGGCCCGCCATCTTAAGAGCGAAGAAATAGAGTAGGATAGGAGTAATCTTAAGATGCACAGGCCTTATATTTACCGTTAAATGGAAAAATGCGCGCGCGCACCGCAGAGACTAAGTCCAAATCGACTTCTGCAGCAGAGTCGTTTGTTTATGTCTGCATTTTCTATAAACTCGTTTTCTATACGTGTCTAGTTTTCTGTATTTCCATTTTCTATACCCGCATTTTCTCTAAACGTCACGTTTTCTTTGCACTACTTTCAACCAACGTGGAAGCATTACCGATTACTAATATTTTGATCCATTATTTAATACTATTTCTACTAACATTTCCTCTTCCTTTTATGCTTATACATTTCAAGTATTGTTCTTTGTAATGTATATATTTTATGATTATAATTTCGTTATCATAACGTAGATTTACTGTTAACAATGTAACGTTACTGCCTCTTTACCTTAATTGCCTCCCATGTCGGAAAAAAAATGTTCATTACTTGAAAACTTTCCGGTAAGCTCTTGACGTGTAAGGACCTAGCAATTTTTGTGTGCGGTGTGACATGTGGTAAGTTAAAGATATTTGTTTCAATGTTTGTTTTTTATTTATAGGTTTTAAAGACAATTGAAAAAATAGTGTACCTTTTATCATAGTGGATAAAGTGTTATTCAAACATTTTTTTACGGTAGGTACTGACAATTCGTGGAGGAATATGCTGGTTGCATGCCCTCATATCGGTAGCCCTTAAATGCCCCAAATGCAACGACATTCATGTAGATGCGACAAACCCCCCAAAAATGATAATAGAAAAGTTAGATGCAATTTCACTTCGCCGGGTACTTTGCCAAGCACATATTAAAAATGTTGTATCCGGCGGAGAATAAAATATTTCATTAGTTCCTCCACGCCGCATCTCGTCTGTAGAGTGACGTTATGAGTTGTATATTGTTTAATAATTTTTAAAATAAATTGACATGCGAATACGCGGAGGGTGAATTAATTTGATATTTTGTGTTCGTTATTTTGGTTAGCATAACATTTAATGTTTGTGAAAAAATTGTGTATCACATATCGGGTTTGTACACATTGCGAGTTGCGCTTGTTTACTTGAGCGGTGTTTCATTCGGTGTCCGTCAGACAAAGTTTAGCTCGTTTATTATACGGCCTTTCTATTGTTGCCGTGATAAATTTAGGCTCGTCTTACATATAATTACAATTTTTACAGATGTTTAAGTGGTATTTATTTTATTTAGACAATTACAGGTTGCTATTGAGATAGTGCATCCCCCCCCCCCCCAACAAGTTTGCAGACTTTCATATTCACCTATGGAGCTTGTATTTACAAGAAGGATCAAGTAATATGTAAATAAAAATACTAGCTGCAAGCAGTTGATTCAAGCTCTGGGGACATGGCATCACTGTAACACCTTATATTGGGAAACATTTTTAAGCAGATGATATGCTCCAATTAAAAAAGGTTATCCCAACTTAAAATTTCATGGGTTTCCCAGACAATGGCTGCAACATTTTAAATAGAAAAGCCCATAAAAAGATGAAAATTCGCCAAAACATTACAGTGAGCATGCCATGCCACTGTAATTTTGAGTTTATCAAAACCCCTTGGATCCAGGTGGCCATACCCAACATGAAAAAATTTGGCTTGAGGGCCAGGATGATGGAGCCATGACTGAAAGAGGGGCTGCTCCAGGAAGCAAACCGTTTCCATGTTTAGGATCTTATTTCTGCCTGCCATGACTGGTGGTACAAGGTGTATTACAGAAAAGGAAAAAATTAAAATGCTATTGTTAATCTTACCACACAGCTTTAAACTTGACAGACAAGGTACTTGTTTAGAATAACTTCACAAACTGAAATTGCTACAAATTTTGATATAGATGGATTCCTCTCACCAGCTAGTTCACCAGCGTTGGGTCCAAGCACATGTACGTGTATTAGCGCGTTTAAAAATTCAGTGTCAAGTGTACTTGTACTTACAGTATTAGTATTAGAATAATATCGCCCATTGCAGATCAAAAGTTCCATAGTCTTACTGTATATTTTTTCTCCCCATGAGAGACTGCCGCCACCCAAACCCCTGAAATGGAACATAGAATCCTCCAAGAGCGTACGACCAACATGTGAGCCCACAACGAGTGTCCCAAACACCCTCCTCTCATGAATGCATCATAGATCCTTCATGCTTCGTTGCAGGGGTTGAGGGGAACGGCAGTCTCCCTTGGAAGTGCCACAGGGGTTACAAGCCACCCACATTTACTTGTAGAGAGGAATCCATCAGTAATAAATTCGTCGAGATCCTATAGACCGAACTATTCTGTAAAATCACCTTCGCTTTTTAATTCTCTCGGTCCTTTGTATGAAACATGAAAGACCAAGCATTGAAACTTCTAGGTCTACTAACCTCGGTCTCCCAGAAACCCATTTTCGAACTACCAATAAACACAAACCTCAACCTTAGCACGAACGTCTTTACCATCACCGGACTTTGCGATTCTATTCGTCCTTTACCTTGTAAAAAATAAAAGCTATTTCCCGAACTCAAGGCAAGCACCTCGCCAAGCCATATTCACATGTGCAATCTATTTCATTCAGTAAAAATGCATTTATCCGAATTCTTAATCTGGGTTTTTCAATCACTATGTACCATTTAAGATACAGTATGATTAAATTTAAGAAAAAACTCGAACCGACCCTCTGAAGTGTTATGAACTTCACGTGTTTACATCGAGTCGGCACTGATGTTATGCTTCCAATACACATTTCACAGTATTTCTTCCCTCTTATTTATCATCGGATTACTTGATCATTCTGTTACTCGTTTCTAACAAACATTGTTATATCTAGAACACTCCCCCACTTTCACTCACGCCGATGGTACAAGACAGCCAAGATAAAGTAAGATAAAGTGAAACTTTCGGAGGACCTACATGATCAATCGCACCACCACTGTAGAGGAAGGTCTGAGGCCGCGGTGCATCCTGGGAACCTCGCCCAGGCCTACCAACCCCTGTGCGGCTGATTTTCTTAAAACATTTTTCAATATTTCGAAGTAAATACACAAAATTGCATATCAATAATTTGTCCTCTTACAATCGTTGGTTATAGCGCCTTGAAATGAAAAGTAAGTATGTTTAGTTGTGTAATCACATGTGACAATTTCCCATGCTAAATTTTGAAAAGGAAACTTGCTAAAAGGGATACTTTAGCATCATTTCAATAATCAGTTTTAAATACAGTGCTCAAATCCACCAGTATTTTAATTTAAGTTTAAAGAGGAAAAATCCTTTCCGATCAGCTGTTTTGTTATTGGTACTCCTGACCAGGTTGAATGATGGCAGCTACGTTTGGTCGCTTCAGCAAAGCTCTTGTAAGTTAATATTTTGTACGTTTATCTAATTAACACTTCACAACATTCATGGGAAGCTGATTCTGAAGCAAATGATAGCACAGTATGGCATGTTGGTAATTAATGTTTCTGTTCAAAGGGAGGTTGTTAAGTACCAACTACCACTGTTACACAATTTCTGCAAATGAAGAATTTTCTACCCTAAAGCCTTATTTGAGGACCGACAACTCACCATCTCAACTAGACGGTCCCTATCATGTAGGATCCGTTCAGTCTGAGGGCATAGTTTCCGTTTTCCACTGTCATATAGTACATTGTATACTTGCCTGTAATGGACAGAATGACCATTATATGCCAGCAACAGAGCGAATATATCTAAAGGTTGATTTTTATGGTATGGACGCACTAAGGTTGGGGAAATTGAGGGTGATATTCTTGTAGAGAATAAAAGTTGTTGTCGTTGGTACAAGGAATAAACTGCAGACATGTATGGTAACGGCACAAATAAAGGAAAGATGTTGCAGAAAGTGCTGCTCATAACCGAAGTCCACCTAGTCCTTCCAAGTTTGGCTCTGTCCTGGCATGTATATAAGGTGAAGACACGCAGATCCTCACAGTGACACCAGACTGAAATAGTTTTTGAGTCGCCGCTAAGATCATTTTTACTCACACCCAATTTTCTGTCTCACAGACATTTGAATTTTAACACAAGTAACACAACAAAATGAAACAAAAAAAGTCGATCCATTTGTAAAATCAAATATGAATAACAATCACTTAATTACAAAGTCCCTTCAGAACATTGTTAGCAAGAGTGAAAAAACTAACGCTGTTGCTCACACCATATATGACCTTTGCTCGCAAGTTACAGCCCATATGTTTATGTTGCTCGTTACGATGCGTCTGCAAAAAACAACATATTTTCTAACTGGGGCTATTGGGGTAGAGCACCCTACCAACCCACCCCTCGGGCAGTGTCCAAAGGGCACACACAGTCACAGATCAATGTTTCTTCGGATCATAGATATTGGTTATTCTTTATGGTATTGACACACTAAGTTATGGCAAATTGAATGTGATATTCTTGTAAAGGACAAAATGTTGTCATCAGTTCAAGAAATAATCTGCAGATGGTTCAAGAAATAATCTTCAGACGCAAACGGTAACTTCACAAATGAAGGTAAAAGTTTACGAATAGTGACACTCACAGCTTGAGTTCACTTGGTGCTCCTCAGCTTCAGCTCAATCTTGCTGTGCATACCAAGATGAGGACAATGTTTTCCAGGGTTTGTTGGAGGGCATCAACAATTAACCCTCCTCTTGGACATATCCAGTCACGGCAACTTAAATCGATAAATAAATTTTGTGACATGGAGTTGGGACTGGCGATATGTCGTACGTAAAAAATTACGTAAATATTATTTGAATATCTGTATGAAAATAGTAACAAATAATGAAAACTACTTTAATTTTTTCTCTGTTCTTTATTATATTAAGATATGGGTAATTTTCTAAATTACCTTGGCCTCTCCAATGTCGACGATTTTGGTATCGTTGGATCCCTCACGTCCACATTGCAAATATATAGTTTTATTGTGCGGAAACCCCCCATTAGCGACCAACTTGGCCCCAATAGCAGGGGAGGGCATGAAAGGTTCCAGGGAAAATGCAGGGTTAAATAGCACTAATAATATAACCCACAGTGAAAATAACCATGGTATTCACATGATTTCCATTGCAGGGGTGTGCCCCCTGTGACCTCCCCTGGGGGAGCTGCCGCCCCCAACCCCCGCCAGGACCAAAACCTCCACCACGTATTCCCGGCAGGCTAGAGCGTTACACAGTTATCGGCGATCTTGAAGCGGCGGACGTATTACATTAACCTCATAACATTCCCACTGAATCAGCATACTAACCTTGATATAGTCAACATTGTATACAAATATGATTGTAGTATAATCAGGATGAACAAGGTATACCATGAACAGAAGAGCGGCGGTGACCCGCCCTCGTCGGGTCAGCGGGTTTGTGCCTTTTTTGATGCATCTAGTTGTGTGCGCTCTATCTGCCGTGAATACGTGGGGATATTTTGTGTCCTCGGGCAGCGGGGGTTGCAGGGGGCACAGCCCCCTGCAGTGGAAAGTCATGTGAATAACCATAGTTATTTTCACTGTGGGTTATATTATTAGGGTAATTTTCTATATTATGTCCGCCGCTCCAACATTGTCACCCCTGGTATCAGGGCCAAGTTTGCCGCTAATGGGGGGGGGGTCCGCGCAATAAAACTTATATATTTGGATTGTACAGAGTGAGAGGAATCCAACGATATCAAAATCGTCGATATCGGAGAGGCGAAGGTAATATAGAAAATTACCAAGATATGTAGGCTTCTATTTATGAGAATAGAATTATGTCAGTTAGTGATTTTGTATTTATGTTTATTTATTTAAGTACTGTGTATATGTGCTTAAATAGTGTTGTAGTCAAGAGAACTTTATTTATATTGTAAGTAGCCTGCACTTATCTAGTTTTTACAGAACAGTTTTATTTTTTACCAAGAAAATAATTTCTGAATCAGTACCAAAAGACTATACCCTTTTGTCAGGTGACGTCCAGCCGAGGCTTCCTAAGGCCTCGATGGCTCCATTCAGCTTCGGGAGTAGGCCCTTGGCAACAGAAAAATGTGCCTCAGCTGGAAGAGACACTTGGATTCCTCCCCTCCCCCCTCACTGTGCTTTCTGATGAGGAGCTTATGATGAAAGAAACAGGTTGGCCTTATGAAGTTAGCAGTGACTATTGCCCATGTCTCAATGATAACACTGTTATTCTTTATTGTATACTAGTTGCATATAACTCTTATATAACTTGTTTATTTTATTAATTATCTGTACTTTATTTATATGCTTCAGTGGCAAAATTTGCTCGTGAACAAGTTGCCCCCCTAGTAAGCAAGATGGACGAAGAAGGCTGTTATGATCCGTCACTTGTAAGAGGCATGTATGAAAATGGGGTAAGGTATCCATGATCTTTTTTTTTTTTTTTCGTTTCTACAATTTTTGTGATTCCTTTAAAAAAATTCTAATCCTGATAGGTGTAGGAGGTAATGATACAGTAGATTGTTGTAAAAGCTTTATGGAGTGTCACTAGTATTTTGAGCCAATCAGATTGTTAGTTATTTCATTTGGATTACACAGATGTAATTACCTTGATAATATTTTCATATTGGATAATTAAGGTTTTACCCAAAAGGAAAAAGTGATTTTTATCATCAATAAGCATCAATAAAATAAAAAAAATGGTGTTTTGATTATATCTACAGTTTATGGCCATTGAGACTGAACCTGAGTATGGAGGCTGTGGATCAACATTTTTTGTGGCAAATTTGGTTATTGAAGAGTTAGCCAAGGTTGACCCATCTATAAGCTTGTTATGTGACCTCCAGAACACACTTTTCAACACTTTATTCCGCAAATATGGCACAGAAGAACAAAAGCAAAAGTACCTCCCAAAGCTGGCCACAGAAATGGTAAGATCATGCTCTTTAGCAGTTGTGGATTTTTAAGTCTAGAGAATTTTGACCTTCACTCATTATCTTCTTGTTTCACTTTTCATTCTCTCTCTCTCTCTCTCTCTCTCTCTCTCTCTCTCTCTCTCTCTCTCTCTCCACTCTCTCTCTCTCTCTCTCTCTCTCTCTCTCTCCTCCTCTCTTCTCTCTCTCTCTCTCTCCCTCTCTCTCCCTCTCTCGTCTCTCCTCTCTCTCCTCTCTCTCGCTCTCTCTCCCTCTCTCTCTCTCTCTCTCTCTCCTCTCTCTCTACTCTCTCTCTCTCTCTCTCTCTCCTCTCTCTCTCTCTCTCTCCTCTCTCTCTCTCTCTCTCTCTCCTCTCTTTCTCTCCTCTCTCTCTCTTCTCTCTCTCTCTT